ATTGCTTGTGGCGCCGATGCCAATGGCCTCAACCTCACAGATCCTGGGCAACAATGAGGGCCTTGAGCCCTACACTTCCAACATCTTCACACAGTGCATCCTCACCAGCAACTTTGTTGTCATCAACAACCATCTAGTCAAGGATCTCATGGAGCTGGGCCTGTGGATGCCTGAGATGAAGAATCACATCATCTGTGATGGTGGATTGGTGGCCAAGATCCTTGAGATCCTGGCACACCTCCATGAACTCTACAAGACTGTGTGGGAGATCTCTTTGTTTGTGTCCATGACATCAATCCTGTGATCATCACTGACATGGATTGTGAGGCCTTCCTTGGCTATGTTGCAGATCTGAAACTGGCACATCAATGACTCAAGGACACAATCACGCGCCTTCACACCGTGCACTCACTCATCATGAAAGAGGTCACATTCATGTGCCAACCAGGCCATTCATTGACCAGTGCATACTACCACACATCATTCTCTCACAAAATGTGGTCACACAAAATGACAACCTACTTGTGATGGGTCAACCAAGTGGATGATACAGCAATGCACCTTGAGTGCAACGGCAAGCTCATGCCGCCACCACAGATGTTCCCTCTCATTGTGGCCAGCAACAAGGTAAACATCCATGTGCTGTGAGACGCACCATCGCCGATCCAGGTTGTGGTCACTGTTGTGATGTGCCAATGTCCCAGATGTGAAGAGCACAGGATGCTGGAACCCAAAAAGCGCCACATGTGGCTGTGTGGCCACCAAGGTGAACTCCTTGCTGTGGATGCTGATCTGCCAGAATTTCATAAATAGGGGCACTCCCATTATTTTTTCATTCCACCACCACCATGTCCACCACCACCCAACAACAACAGACTGATGCCCTCCGCGCCCTGGCTGAATACATGTGCCAACACCCTGAGCTGCTGGCCTTGATCCCCAAGGGCAAGTCCAACAAGTTCAACGTGCTGTGCTTGAAGCTTGATGAGAGCCTCCATCTGCTGAACAAGTGTGGCGATGCCAATCTGCTCATGAGGTGTGTCATGCGTGACAGCATGACCTGCCTGCCCCTCCTATATTTTCTGGCCAGGATTGTTGAACACTGCCATCACATGTGCTGCATCCTCAGTCAGGGCACTTCAGATCAAAAGTATTTCAACATGCCATTGGCCTTGAAGGAGGAGTGGTTCACCTGCGACTGCGTCGGCATCCACAGCATCTGCCTCATTGGAAGCAATTTGATTGGGCTCTGGGGCTCTGTCAAGATCTGTCACAAGGACCAACACACAGTGGAGTTTGGACTGATCAGAGACATGATCCTGTATGAGCTGCTCCAGGTCTTTGCGAGCGGGGACAACGGCTACCGCTCGCGGGACAAGTTGCCCCTCACGTCCTCATTCAACCCCAGAGGGTGCTGGCTCCCAGTGCCGGCGTGGGATCCCGAGCATTACTCAATCCAACTGTGCCTCCACGATGCCAACATCGATGAGGTCAAGGTGGAGTTCACATGCATGCTTGTGTGTGATCAGGAGTGGCATACATATCACCCTGCCACATTCATGCGTCCACACGTTTCCCGGAACGAGATCCGCGAGAAGATCCTCCCAGGATGCACCAGCTTCTCCTTCGGCCTCCTGAACATCGAAGGCTGCGTCGGCATGGGGATCGCCCCCGACTTCACGGCGGGTGGTTTTGTGTGGCACATCAAGGAGGCGCAGTTGCTTGATGAGAGTGGCAAGTGCATCATCGTCTGGGATCGCGACACCATGCACCACGACATCAAGTGCAAGATGGGCATTGTGTGTGACGGCGATGTTGACCTCCCTGTTGGTTTGCTTGATTTTGGCCCCTACATGCGCCTCACAAGCGGATCAACCCAGTTCAACCCCCAGATCCAGTTCTCCCTGAGAGTTGTCACCTCATTGACAGCCTCAACAGATCCTATTCCAGTCACACTGAACCTCTACATGTTCCAGCACCAGCACGTCACCATCGGAGACTCCCAGAACAAGAGCAAGACATCAATCTGCTGGGCAGCCATTGCTGATCGCCCACTCAATAACATGCTGGTGCCCCTCCTCCGTTGCCAGCACCATATGGTCCCACGGGCAGCCATTGGCCCTCGCCCACTGAAGCAGCTCCAGGTGTCCGCCCTGCGCTGCATTGGCACACGTGACCTCGTCCCACGGGCAGCCGTTGGCCCGGGCCCACTTCAGCACCTCGAGGTGGCCCGCAAACGCGGCATTGCTGGTCGTCCACTCCTGCCACGGGCAGCCATTGGCCCGCGCCCACTGGAGCACCTCCAGGTGGCCGCCCAGCGCTGCATTGGAACAGGTGGAAGGGTCCCATGGGCAGCCGTTGGCTCGCGCCCACTTGAGCAGCTCCAGGTGGCCCCCGCCCGCCGCATTGCGACAGGTGTCATGGTCCCACGGGCAGCCGTTGGCCCGCGCCCACTTGAGCACCTCGAGCTGACCGGTCCGCGCGGCGTGTGCGCAGGTCGACTCGTCCCATGGGCAGCCGTTGTCGTGGGCCCACTGCAGTACGTGGAGGTGGCCCCCGAGCGCGGCCTCGTGGCACGTGTACTGGTCCCACGGGCAGCCATTGGCCCGCGCCCACTGCAGAGCGTTGAGCTGGCCACCCAGGGCCGCGCTTGAAGTCGTGTAGTCGTCCCATGGGCAGCCGTTGCCGCGCGCCCATTGTAGAACCTCCAGCTGGCCCCCGAACGCGGCGCTCGAGCAAATGGCAAGCTCGTCATGCATCGGGCACCCGTTGTTGCGGGCCCACTTGAGCACCTCGAGCTGGCCGGTGCGGGCCAGGGTCGCCGCAAAGCTCTCCGGCTGGTGGCCGCGACCGGCGACGAGGTCGAGGGCGGCCTTGGCGGTCTGGGCGCAGGCGTGGTTGGAGTTAAGTACTCGCGCCCAGCGTCGGCTCACCGCGCCCAGCGTCGGCTCACCGCGCCAGACACCACCACAGCCGGGAGGGGCAGGTGGGTGAACACCAGGCTCACCAACTCCTCCGGCAGCTCGTCCATCGTGGTCGTGTATTATTTACTAAGTCTTTAAGGCGGCTACTCAGGAATGACGTGGTTCGGCATAAGCAGTCCGCAAGATTTTTTTGCTGCCCAATAATGAGACAGCTATGATTCCGAAAGATTCATACCATTGGTGATGATGTCGAACCACGTCATTCCTGTGTAGCCGCCTTAAGGTCTTTGCACTTCAAAAACCATATTTTTTAACTTCATAGCTTCCTGCAGTTTTGTCTGTCGGATGCTGCGACAACACCATCATGTCGGCTACCTGCGGGAAATCAGCCATCAACGCGATCGAGGGCGTCTGCGGCCGTCCGGGATACATTGTCGACAACTCGGATTGTGGCAACGACCAGAACCAATGCAACGCCAAGTACGGCAAGGACGGATCGCGGTGGTGCGCCAGCGACGGCTACGGATGCTGCATGCGTCTGTCGCCACCGACGGACAACATCGTCCCGTGCTGTCTGCGCCAGAAGGAAAAACCTTTGCCGAGTGCGGCAACGATCTGTGCCCGTGGAGCCCGGGATGCCAAGAGATCGTCGGGCAACACTGCATGGATCCGGCCAACGTCACCAGCCCGCTCTGCCAATCGTTCTGTTCGGTCATCAACAACAAGCGCTTCTGCGACACGGCGATGGAGACCTACTGCACCACCAGTGCGGGCCAAGCGGATCCGCTGTGCTCGTGCATCAACGCCGTGGCACGCGGATCGCCGATCCCCGGATGCTTCGACGCGATGTGTAGCGCCAGCGGCTACAAAAATTTCGACCAAGCGACACAGGCGCAGCAGTGTCCGTCGTTTTGTGGATCTATCTTGGAATGCCGTGGCGCAGGAACGTGCACGATCGATGACAACACGATTGTCACGCATTGCTTCAGGCAACAACAACAGCAGGCCGCACTCGATCAAACAGCTGCTGGCAGCAAGATGGCGCTCCCCGTGATCGTCATCATTATCGCCGTGGTCGTTCTGGTAATCTTTGGCTTCTTCTTTGCGTCATGATTTATTCAGTATTCAAATGTTGTGGGTTCGTCGACAAACATGGTGCGTTCAGGCACGAGCACGTTGTTGCAATACACGGCACGTACAAAACGTCCCGAGCGCAAGGGGAAGATGTACTGGGAGAGATGGCAGTGATTGCAAAAGTCCTTGAGGACCATCAGAAGGCGTCCATTCGAATCGTGCCAGGTGTCCACGGAATAGATGCCCTTGACTGGCTCGGCGTGTTGAATCCCGTCCTTTTCCTCCCGCAAGCCTTGAACGATAAAGTCGTTCCTGTCTTCATTGTACAGTGGCATAAGGCCCGCCCAAATATGACTGAAGAGAGTACCGCCGGCGAAGTCCTCCGAGAGGCGCTGGGGGAAGGAGGGGAGTGTTTGGTTGTGTTGCATGTTGTCCGTTGGGTGTTGTTTCGGATGTATGTCGTCGCCGGTGAGCGCGTTTTTAAATTGTCTGGCGGACCCGATGAATCACCACGATGAACCCGAGATACGATGTCAGCGGTGATCTCTTCCTGACCGATATGGCCGGATCGGGTCTCATGGCAAAATACGGCGACGGCCGGGTCGCCATCGCCACCAGCCAGGTCATCGAGGCTGCCGTCGGCGGCACCGTCGTCATCGGCGACAATGCGACCGCGATCGCGGCGCTCCAGACGGGCAAGGAGGACAAGTTCAACAAGGGCTGTGCCCAACGGTTACGCGTCCCTCGACAGCAACATCCGCGTGCCCACAGCCCAGCTCGAAAACGTCGGCGGCACGACTGCGGTGACCAATCTCGGCTCTACCAAGGAAGACAAGGCCAACAAAGGCGTTGCCAATGGCTATGCATCGCTCGGCAGCGACACTCGCGTCCCCGTGGCCCAGCTCGAAAACGTTGGCGGCACGACCGCGGTGACCAATCTCGGCACCACAAAGGAAGACAAGTCCAGCAAGGGTGTGATCAACGGTTACGCGTCGCTCGACGGCACGGCGCAGGTGCCATCGAATCAGTTGGGCAATGTCGCGCGTGCCACCGCCAAGGGCACCTTCCTTGTGGGCAATGGGAGCACGCCGACGGCGCAGGCCGCGGGCGCCACCAACCAGGCACTCATCGCCGACACGACCACGGCGACGGGCGTTAAATGGGCTTCCTATGATCATGTCAATCTCACCAACAAGGGCACCAACACCCACGCGCAGATCGACGCCTTCATCACCTCCAGGGGTCAGCCCAACGGCCTCGCGACACTCGACAGCAACGGCCGCGTACCCCTGGCACAGCTCGCCAATCTGTCTGCCTCTTACCCCCAGCCGGTCTTTGCCGGATTCAGCGGAGCGATCACCACCAACGGATCGACGGGCAACACCTTCATCCAGGCTCCCGGCGACGGCGGCACCTCTGGCGACCTCTCCTTTATCAATTTCGACTTTGTGTCGATCGGTGTCAACTCGGTGAGCGTGCCCCGACCTCAAGCGCCCACATCCGCCGTCACGTTTGACGCTGTCAACAGCAAGTGCACGGTCAACGTCGCCGGCGAGTACCTGCACACGATCAACGTCAACACCACCGGACCCGGCGGGACTGCGCGCTGGGGCGTCACGCTCTACTGCGACGACAAGATCGTGAGCGCCTTCAACAAGATCGTCTACGCCGCCGATGATGGTATGGGCGACCGCATCTCGTTCTCGGCGACCGTACCGGTTAATGCAGGCAGCGTGTTCGACGTGCGGCTGCGACTCAGCAACAACAACACCAACCTCAACATCATTGGGTGCTCGTGGTTCTGCACACAGCTGTCGGGATAAACGGCGCGTTGCCGACACGAATAAGTTGGTTGTTGGAGCAGCCGCGTCATTGTCACCAGAACCATAACATGGAGAGCACGACCAGCATCCCTCTCGACAAGGGGTTGGTCGACAAAGCGATCCGAGAGGGTGACCTCGAGTTCATCAAGATTGCACACGCCAACAATCACATCGTCGACGCCGAGCTGTGCAATACCGCTCTTCACTTTAGCCAGTACGCCATGTTCAAGTGGTTATTCAAGAACGTGCCGCACTCCAAGGACGACGCCATCCGCTTCATGAGGCGATGCCTCAAGCCGAGCGTGCAAGCGTGGATCGGGCGCAGGATTGATCCGGGCTGGTTCAACGAGCTCGAGAACCGGCGCGCCGCCATCACCGAGGCCAAAAAACGCAAACGCGAGACCTACAGTATCGTGCGCGAGCCCATCCCGGTTTGAAACGTCAGATCAAGAAGGTCAAGAGCGACGCCGAGTGCCACGATGCCGGCGCCCGCGCGCTGCTCTTCTTTGACACGATCGTCAACGATTTCGGCGACTGTGTTCACTTTCTCGTCGGAAAGTATGCACTCGAACTCCAACTGATGCGCGATCTGCTCAGCGGCAGGACGACCCTCGGACTCGACGACAGCACCGCCGAATCAATCCGACGCGAGATCAAGAGCATCGTCAACGCGCGACTCGTTGTGTATCAACATCGTCCTTTAGGCGGCAAGTGGAGGATCTTAGGGTTCAAGAGCATCAAGCCATCGGACAAGACCCGAGCCACCATCAAGTGCAACTTTGAGGTCCTGGTCGACACCGCCGCGGGCCATGAGATTGAGGGGTGGGGCGAATCCGCTGAAATCATCAGCAAGCACTACGATCACGACGCCAAGGCGTGGTTGTCCGGCGTGTTGTTCTACAGGCACGAATAAATTGCCACCACAAGCACGATGCTCCATATCACCTCCATGGCGCCTCCCGTTCACACCACCAACTTTGCCATCGCCGACTGGTTCAGGCGGGCACAAGATGCTGGAGAGAGCACTTGGGGCGTGGTGGCGTGTTTCAACGCCGCCGCAGGAATGCGCTGGGATGTGTTGGAGTGGCTGCTCCGCCGCGGTTGCCCCTGGGACGGCAGGCTATGGGCGTGCGTGGCATACGTCGGCCGACCGGAGCTGATCGGATGGATCGACAGCATTGGGCGCTTCCCCATCGAACTCGGCAAGTGCCAGGTTGACCTCGTCATCGGATTCGTCGCCGATCTCGATCGCGCTGATCCGGATGCCGATCCGCCGTACAAGGAGGCGTTCGAGCGTGCCCGTGGCGACGACGGCGGTGTCTCGTGGATCGCGAGGGGCATCGCCATCGATACGGAACAGAATCGGGCGTTAGAGGCGGCCTACGATCACGCCTTGGTATATTTGCGTGGAATGATTAAAGAGGGTGTTTAGTTTTTGTTTTCAAAATGTGGTGCGTGGCGCTCCTGAGCGTATGCAACGGCACCTCGCCCATGGCATCGAGGACAAGTGGACCGTAAGGACCACCTGCCGAATCTATGAATCTGACCAGCCTGGAGATCGGCTCGGGGAGTTGGTCGATGGGTACGCGGCCGTCGTCGTCCAGAATGGGATGGTTCACATCGGGCAGAGCGGAGAGCGGGATTTTGCCGTACTCGTCCAACACGGCCAACCCGCCAGGTTTGCCGACGGACTGCATGAACTTGTCGATCGCCTCCTCCCTCGGATCCGGATCGGGCGCGATGACAATCGGTTTCGGCAGGCCCCAAAAGTCGAGCTCGCGCTCCCACAACTCCTGGCTCACGTTGGTCGGTCGGCACGCGTCATCCACGCCACCACGTCGCAGTCCCTGCAGGATCACGGCGAAGATCGTCGGATCGGTATTGATGAAGCGGACCCGGCCATCGTCCTTGTGCCAACTAGAGCTGAACATGGTGGCGAGAACGCTGTTCTTCACCGAGGTAAGTGTCGTCAACGTCGTCTCCAGCAACATACCGCCAACATTGAGCTTGATGGTTTGTGGTGCGTCCATTCCGGGTGTGTGCAAAATGTCGTTGTGTCCAACCGGAACGCACACCCTAAGTGTCCGGCAGCGCATTTATATAAAGGTACCCTACATGCGGCTTGGCCTCTCGGAGAACGTGCAGATCCTCTTGGGTGCTGGAGCCAAGACGAACGTGAAGGACAAGAGTGATCTGACCGTTATCGACTACCTTGCCGATCCGCGTTTGGAGAAAATGCTGCAACGGCTGATGGAGATGGGCAAGGATGAGTGTTCGGAACATCATCCTCGAGCGTTGTGTCGTCAGGCTGCGCGATCCCGAGGACATGCGCAAAGTGGCGTCTGCGTTGTTCGAGTCCCACAATTAAAGGTCTACGTGCGTGTGATGCACGATGGTTATTTCATTGTGATGGGGGCCAGACATGTCTGATTCCGCCTCGACGGCGTGCGATGAGCATTTTCGCGCTGCATCAGAGGGTGTGTGCGGTCGGATGACCACGGGCGTTTCGAGCACCGACTGCGGTCACTCGGGCGACACGACATGCACACAGCGCAACGGCGGCGGCGCCGACGGATCGCGGTGGTGCGCCAGCGAGACCGGCGGGTGCTGTCTCCGCGTCCAGCCACCGGCCAAGAATCAGTTCGGATGCTGCACCTCGCTCGATGTGCACAACTTTTACGACTGCGGCAACTCGTGGTGCCCGTGGAGCGACGACTGCAAGGGCATCCTCAATGACTACTGCGCGAGCACCGACAACATCGCCGGACCGACGTGTCAGCTGTTCTGCTCCAAGGTCGAGAACAAGGCCCTGTGTGATCCGACCATGCGCAAATATTGTGAGACGGTGGCGGCACCCGGCGATCCTTTGTGTGCGTGCATCCGATCCGACAAGGATGGCATCCCGGCGCCCTCGTGCTTTTCGGCGCCGTGCACGTCCGGCGGCTACCAGACGCTCGATCACGTCAACCAGGCGACACGGTGTCCGGATTTTTGCGGGGCCATCATCGATTGCGCCAGCACGGAGGGGTGCGAGATCAACGACAACAGCTTCGAGACCTACTGCTGCCAGCGCCATCCCGACCTGTGCAAAAACAACGGTGGCGGTGGCGGCGGAGACAGCTTTTGGTAGCGATTCATCCAATTCTGGACCGCCAAAACGAGCCCCCACCGGACAAGTACACAATCGTTGATGACCATGGCTAGTGGATCAGGATTGGCCAGAACCGCGCGCGGATCCCTGGATTCTGGTACATGCTCTTGTGATTCGAAAGGAACTCGCGATCCTTGGCACTACCCATGGGAAATGGATAGAGGGCGTTCCCCCGCATAGATGCCCAGCTGTCATTCATTGAGCTGGGTCTGTGCCAGTGACTTGATGTTGGCCTTGTTGGCGACGATGCAGGGCATGTCGATGGGCGCGTGTCTGAGGATGGTCGTGAAGTCGCGGGCTGTTGGTCACGATGCCAGCAGGCACACCTGTTGAGTGTAACTGATGGTGACACTGCCATCTTTAGCAATGGCATAGAGGGCGCGCTTCCACAAGATTGTCTCACTGTCATAACGCAGGAGGAGCGAAAGGGCGCCAGCCAAGTAGATGCGCACCAGTGCATCCTTGATTCAATTGTTGTTGTTTTCAGTGTTGATGTTGGCGAGGTAGGTGGTGTCATATGCATGCAATGCCACATGCTGGATGGAGTCAGTGATCATGCCAGTGTTGATCAGATCCATGCCCTTGACAATGGTGTGAAGATTGGGCCAATCAGCGGCCATGTGAAGGTGAGGGAAGAACTTGATGAACTCTTCACCACTGTCATCCATGGTCATTTCCACCAGGGCTGACAGCGCCAATGTCCTCAGGACAAGTATGCAGGTGCAATAGTCCTTGTCAGTGGGTGGCAGGTATGTGTTGGTGCACAGACCTGGCTCCAATGCCTCAAGCATGCCACAGAATCCTTTGGCCTCGATCAGATCCCAGTGGTCCATGCAATCCATCAGCACCACGCCAACCAACACCTCAGGCTTGAACAGGGCAGCGCGCCAGTCACTGCACCAGACCATGTTGCGCTTCTCTTTGAATGGTGGCATGTGCACCATCTCTTGGATGTGACTGTTGTGTGGTCGTGTTTGCTGATGATTGTGGTGTCAAGATTGCACCAGAACCATGATTGGCCATAGGTGCAGATCCAGAACACTCAACCTGGTCAGCGCCCGTCATCGCTCAGTGGAATGACAAACCTCATGTACTCATCAGGCTCTTGCAACCATCCAACATTGGCGGCATCACACATGCTGAGATGCACGCCCCCAAACCTTTCAAGACACGCGGTGGCGTAGATGAGCTGGAAGGCCATGGAGAGTTGTTCGCCAATGGACAGCTGGGTGTTGGCGAGCGTGCCATCAGGGGCCTCCCTTACCATCATGACGCACACCTGCCAGCCAGCATCAATGCGACCACACTTTTCAGGTTGGCAGGCGTACCACACAACGAGCGTGGCAGTGGGTCGTGCAATGCACAACATCAACAAGTAATCTGATATGGTGTGAGTGACCATGGCCGGCATGGGCGATGGCGCGCCGGGGATCGGTTGGTGCATCTGAAAGAGATCGCCAGGTTTGTTGTGTGGATCTGTCATGGCAGTGGCGATGTCGCGTTCATAGGTGGCTGTTCGCATGAGCATGAACATGTGATCAGTGATCCTGTCGATCCGCGATCCAGTGAATCGGGGATGGCTGACCCGGCACTTCCGCAAAAACACTGCTCTCGTCATCACATTGGATGGTCTGCAGTGACAGCAGGTGGCCATGTTGAAACAGCGATGCAGCGAGCGCAAAGGCATCCAATGCCATTGTACAGGCGATCCTATATTTGTTGCAGAAGTCTTTTGACACAAACAAAAGGCCAGGGCGTCAGTTGGTCGTTTCTTTCAACAACAACAACATGAGCAACAACGACGGCTTCGTGGGACATCTCATGGGCTTGATGATAATGGCCAGGATCCAAGTGGGTCTATTGGACGCAGACCAACATGCTTGACGTCACTGCACGGCTCTCTGACAGTGAAGGCGTTGTGCCCGCTGGCCAGGTCTCGCCTGATCTCGCCACCAGTCTTGCGCTTTCGTTTCATCGCGTCATGTGCGGCGGACCAACCAATTGGCTGTGGGAGCTCAACCACTTGGTGGTGTGTGAGGCCACCATGATCCACAATGTGCTCATGTGTGATCTCATGATGACCCACAACGGCTACGAGGTGCACATGTCTGGCCTCAAGGCGAGCATGGGCGCCAGCACCTTCTGCGTCACCTTCCGCCAGGTGATTGACGCTGTGGCCTGGTGCTCCACCGCACAGCGCGCCCTCGTCGCCGCCGACTGGCCTGCTGGGTTGCTGTGCATCAATGGTGCACACACTGAGTATGGCAACTCATCCAATGAACACTTTGTCTACTGTGGACTGCGCGTGTGCATGGGCGTGCATGTCGGCCCAGTGCGTTGCATCATGGACCCCAAGACACGCCACGCTGAGTACATTGGTCCAGTGGTGAAGGGAGCCATGGCCATTGCGCACATGTTGTCAGGCAGTCAGGTGCTCATGTCACCCAACATCAAGGCCAAGCTCACCAACCTGCCTGATGAGATTGGGCGGATGCGTCCCCTTCAGATCCAACACATGGGCAACATCAATCTCAAGCAAGCAGTGCCCAAGGGGATCACCTACCAGCTGATCATGAACTCACTCAAGATGCACGCCAAGAATCATGTGCAGTTCAATGAAGATGATGATGATGACTGCAACGTGCTCCAACTGCCCACCAAGGACATGAGCCTGCTGGTGTCAGCCAACAAGTGCCAGTGGTTTATTGACCCACACAAGATCAAGACCAGCAAGGTGATTGGCCACAGGATGAGCGCTGTCATCTACAGGGGCCTGTGGAGCAAGTCAACGCCAGTTGCCATCAAGATCTTCAACTGGTCAAAAATGACTGAGGAGCAGGCGCTCCAATTCCATGTTGAGGTGGCCACTCTCACTGAGCTCTTGCATCCCAATGTCCTGCTCTTCATCAGTGCCACCATCAGCAACAAGCACCTCTTGCTTGTCACTGAGTTCATGCCCTGTGGCAGCCTTGCTGGTGTGCTTGCCAACACCTCCATGTACCTGCTCACATTCACCCAATGCCACCATGACCAACTTCAGCACGCCCATGTGGAGCACGCCTGAGGTGATCCAGGGCCTTGACTACAGCATGCAGGCTGATGTCTATTCATTCAGTGTCATCCTGTGGGAGATTCTCACACACAAGGTGCCATACACCACACATCACATCAGATTGTCCCAAAGCACTGCACTGACTCATCAAGCAATGTTGGCACACCAAGCCAGCCAAAAGGCCTTCCATGGAGAGCATGTGCAAGCAACTGGTGGACATCATCAGTGCATGTGGCAATGCCATACTCAATGTGTAAAACTTGTTGTTGCCAACAGCAACAATGTCTTTGCTTTTTGGCACACTTTCTGGCAGTGTGAATGATGGAACAGTTTCACAATGCTGCAAGTCATAAAGTTCAAATAGGATCATCAGTTCATCCCCCTTAAGGATATGGGCCTGGGAGAGTGCAGCAGTGGTCCATGTGTTGGGTGACACATTGTAGATGTCCACCACACCCCCCCACATTACCACCAGCAAAGAGGGCCAGGTCACCAATGGAAGTGGCCACCAGGTCAAAATGGGCCTCAGAGAGCGTGGTGGTCCATGTGTTGGACAACACATTGTAGATGTCCACCACACTGGAGTTCCCCCCCAAAGAGAAGCCGCCAGTGAAGAGGGCCAGGTTGCTGATGGAAGTGGCCACCAGCATTTGATGGGCCTGGGAGAGAGACATGGTGGCCCACTGGGCTGCTGTTACATGGGGAGGAGTGAGGAGGAACAACAAGAGCAGGATGATGGCAACAACTGAGGAGGCATGAAGGGCCAAGGTGGGCATTGTTTGGTGTTGTGGCTGCTCTTGTTCATCTGTGTTGTGAGTTGTGGTGCCATGGCTGAAGAAACCAGTCCATATTGACACCCTGCAAAATGAGGGTTGGTGTGATTTTTGTTGCTTAGGCTAATATAACTAGCCAAGCACAAGGCTAATTAACAGATGGGAGGAAGTGGCAAGGAAGGTGTGCTTTCATTGCATGACAGCTGTGACTGCCCTGCCATGGTCTTGAGAACAAAAGCCAGCTGCCAGACACCCCTGGTGTCTTTGGTAAATAAATCACAGTGCCCCTTGAAGCAAGGCCACATGTCCAAGCTCAGTTGTGTGATCCCAGCCACTGCCAATGGTGTGTTGGCCACAGTGTTTGAGGAGTCCTTCATGCACAAAGGCACCAAGTGTTTCAACCAGCTTTGGGATGATCTGTTGACATCCTGGAGATGGCCAGGGAGGAGGGTGAAACAAGCACTTCTTCCACAGGATGGTCAAGGAGATGAAGAACAAAGTTCATATGTGAAGCTGACTACAACAAGCTCATTGCAACAATTGAGGGATACACCATGAAAAGGGTCGCAGCATAGACCCATATATTTCTTTTCTGATGTTGTGTCAGCCCTGGAATGCAATTCTTGTTGATGAATACTGAAGATGAGCTCAATAGACACTCACTTGTTCACAGTGGCAACAGCCCACCCCATGGGCTCTTTTTTGGCCTTTGATGCCTTGTCGCCACTGTCCTACTTGGTGCGGCAAGTGGTCCATGGTGAGCTCTTGGATAATGGCACCAACACCCACGCACAGCTCAACGCCTTTGTCACCTCCAAGGTGCAGGCCAGCAGACTCACACCACTCAATGGCACAAGCAAGGTGCTGCCAGCAAATCTCCTGAGCGCGAGCACCGCCACAGTCAGTGCTGTAGTCAGCACCACCTCAGCCTCCACCATGGCATTAGGCAACAGTGCCTTCAACATGACAGCCACTGGCACATGCAACATCACAATCACACCCAGCACACTCACCACATCCACCACAGCATCCAACAATGTTGTGATTGGTTTGATGGCCCTCAGTGCTGCCACCACAAACAGCACCAACATCACCATCAGATCCAACACACTCAAGGCCCACACAGGCACCCCAGCAGTGGCCATGAGTCACAACACACTCACAAAGAACACCACAGGCCAGTACAACACAGGGCTGGGTCATCAAGCGCTCACCAACATGGCCACCACCAGCAGCAACACAGCGATCAGCTACCAGGCCCTGATGGCAGCAACAAGCATGGTCAACTGCACAGCCATCAGTGCAGGCGTGCTAGAGAAGTCCCTCAGCAGCATCAACATGACAAGGAAAAACCATGGCTGACACCACCATAGCCTCCATTGATGTGTCATTTAGTGTGCTTATGAGCAGACTTGAGGATTACACTGGAAGATTACACAACGCCAGAGAACAATTGGCCACTGTTGTGGCACCAGTGAAGAAGAGTCATGCACCATCCTGTACTGCAAGTGTGAGGGTACCAATGCGCCACTGGTGCCCATGTGTTCCAACAGCCACAAGATGCACTGGCAGTGTCTGAGAACACTCATCACATTGAGCGCTGTTGACTCAGATGACAATGTCAAGGAGAGTGATGCAGCACACATGTGTCCCCTCTGTCAATGAGCTTGACCCACCACCAATGGTGAGACCACCAAGGGGAATCAACCAAGGCCTCATGGATTGCCAACCCAGTCAGTTTGCTGTGTATTTCAACACCACCACACTCAACAGGAATGCCAGATGCACCAGCAATAACCACCAGCGTGGAGGACGCCAACAACAATGGCAGCAATAAACACATTGTTTTTCATGCAAGAAGTTTCAGCACCAACTCATAAACCACCCACCATGTATGAGAACAATCTGCCCAAAATTGACAGCACCACACTCATCATCCCCAGAGAAGAGGAAGAGCTACATGAATCAGTTTGCATCATCAGCACCTGTAGGTGTCCAGTTGGATCACCTCTGCTCACCTTCCCATGTGGCCACATGATCCACAACTCTTGCCTCTACAAGCTTGCACTGCACAACAAGGGCAACGCCATGCCATGCCCTGAATGCAATGACGTCCAGCTGGCCACCATGTGCTCAGTGCTGGCCAGCACCAAGGACACATGCACATCCAAGAACAGCACCACCAGCCACGCCTATGTCATGGCCACATCAGTGCAGTGTCCTGGGACTGATCTCCACCACATCCAAAAGGCTGCCAGCATTACTGTGCTGGCTGCATATGGTTCTTGGTTGGTGGCACTGCTGATGATGCCTGACTACCTCACCTGTGGCAGTTATGGTGGCAAGCTCACTGGGCTCTTGGCCAGCCACCAGTTGGTGTTCATGCAGTGCTCACTTGAATCTGCCTATGAACACAATTCAATGCCATTGGGTGCTGTGCACATGCAATGCTTGTCTGAGTTTTCTGTGGCCAGTGCCAGCTTCCTTGGTGGAAGGGCCAAGTGTACTGGTGGCACTTGCCTCAATGGATCCCAGGCATTTTAAAATGTCAATAGAGCACCTGCCCGTTGAAATCATCTCAATTATCCTAGAATATGTGGACATGGTCAGTGCATCAGTGGCTGTTTGCACTTTGTGGATCCTGAGGTGCACAGCAGGCATACCCATCAAAGGATCTGTCAGCACACTTGGCTGGGTTTGTTTTGTGTATGGCCAGTGTTATGAATACCTGCGTGTGTGAGGGTGCACCAATCTGTGCCAAATGCATTGGTGTCTGTGGCGCATCATCTGTGACACCAAGCGCTGCCATGATCACCTGTGGGCCTACTATCTGAGGCTTGTGCAGCTGCTGCAGCAAAGACAATCTGGATGCTTGTACTTGGCATTATGCCAGCGCCTGCTGTAGATGCTGTACACATGACAAAGCGAGTGCACAATGGCACGCTTGTAGGAGCCCGTGACATCCATGATGAGGTAAATCCTGGGATGGGTGTTCCACATATTCAATTGTAGGTGAACGGTGTCAGCTCCAATTGTTGTCCTTTGATGTAATCCTGGATCTGCTTCACCAAGCACAGATGATTGGGGCCTATGGATTGGATCAGCCAGCGCTCATCAGGGAGGATCACAATGGCGTGCTCCAGAAAAGCGTCGGTGCTGACCGGTGGCAGTGGCAGTGGTTGATCGCAGGGCGCAGGCTGCGGTAACAACATCTCCTGGTGCAGACCCCTCTCAATCCGACGGAGTTGTTTCACGAGCGAGATGCGGCCCTATGCTATCATCCAAGCGACATCACGCCACACACGGCACACGAAACGCAGGTGGGATTTGAACTCGATGAGGTCAAAGACGTGCGCCCACAAATCCATCATATCGCTCACACACAGGCCCCAGAAATGGGTATGGTCGTTCCCCTCTCGTTCAACCGCTTCTCGGTCCGCCACTTGCCCTCGCCCTTTCTCGCTCGGGTATGACCGTTGCGCTCACCTTGCTGATGCCCTCCTCGATAACGGGAGGCTCAGTGATCTTCCCATCATCTTCACCGCTGCTCCCTGCTCTTCCTGCCAGTCCCTTCACCTTCAGCACTGCGTCGGCAGGGTGCAAAGATCCAAAGCATCCACACGTACGTGCAAGCAGGTTTATTTATACAAGCAGACTTGTTGTGGCGCCTGGCTGTTGCACTACGATGGCTGCCCGTGCTGCTCGGATGCGCAGCATTGCGTGCAGCGCCTCCTTCTCAGTCTTGAGCACGATCTGTTCAGCATAGGCGCGGAAGTTGTCCACGAAGAGGCAGCCGTCGGTCTCCTTCTCAACACGGAGTGTGCCGCCCTCGCAGACCCAGAGGTCTTTGCACACTTCGAGCAAGAATGCGCAGTTGTGACTCACCGCAACAACCGCTCCGGGGAAGGTCTTGAGCGCCGCGGCAAGAGCAGCGATGGTCTCCCCGTCGAGGTGGTTGGTGGGTTCGTCCAGCAGAAGCACGTCGAGAGGGCCATCGTCCGCGAAGACGTCCGCC